CAACTCTTTTTCCTCCTTGACCAGAATTATTTACATGTATATACTCTCACTTCCAGTGGGAATCTCATTTTACACAATTATCTTCATGAACCAGGTCACACGTGTAATATGCATATTGTAAACAAGATGCATATTTCACATCACTTAAGAAGCTTACTAGACCATTAGTCCTTACATGTATTTCAAGTAAACACATTAGAGTAATAAAACCGACAATATGGGGCCCACTATAAGATAAATCAAAAGTATGCAAGTTAGATAACAAAACATTAACTAGTACAATAATGTACCTGGGTTGTAAAGATTAAAGCTACACTGTTCATGTACATGCATTATGTATGAGTGTAGATAAACCATTTTGATAATATCCGTATGATATATTACAAAGATTTAAAGTTAATATGCATAATTATTGGTGATGAGGTGATGAATCACTTTTGAGAGCTAAAGGGCTAAGTGTTCCTTTATTGCTGCCGCAGATAACATGTCTTCTTAATTAAAAGCTGAATAACTGAACATGTCATTTTACAGGTGGCTGATGACACACCCATGCAAATCCTGTTATGCAATCACAGGAGCCACAGAAATGAAAATTTTAGAGAACAGGACCACATTCATTATTGTTAACTGATGAATTTATCAACAGCAGTGTTGGTGCAAGTATTCTTTCAAAGCCAACAGATATGTTCCCAAGAAGAAATGGAAACTGTATCTGTTCAGCCCTCGTGGCTTGTAGTTTCATCAATTGCAATGGTGAATAACAATGAAATAAGTTAACATACTGCCATCATTCATATTTATCTTTCACTGAAATTTAGGAGCAGTGATTCTTCAATAAAATGTCCTCATGTTATGTGGGTTTTGTGCTCCAATATGTGTAAAAACAATATTTAAAAGTTTACATTTTAAAACATAAAAATGTCAAACACCACTTTTGAGAATAATAGCATACATAAAATGAACTCAAGTTGAATATGGCTCCCAGTACTTTTTTTTTTTTTAGATATGGCACAAGATGTAACCATGGCATACATATACATACTTATACAGTGGGTCACTTAACTTTCACACTTGCTGCGAAATAAGAGGTTATTGGCAATAAAACTTCCTGGCACTAGCAATGTCGACTGAAATCTGAAAAGATCAGACCAAGGCTGCTACTCCCTGCTTTGTATCTGGTTGAGTTGTGACGACGATAAAACCACAGAGCTATGGGTTAAAACTGCAACAACACTTTTTAATGACGAGGTAGGGTTTTTCGAGTTACATGAGTGGCCAGTGCCGCGTGGCACGACGGATTGTGTGACTTTCTGATCACATGACTACAGTCACACGTGTTACGCCACATCCCTTTCCCTTACAATATCAACAATGGCAATAGCAACAACAACAACAAAATAATAGAATAGGACAGAGGCAAGTTCAATTCAATGTTCAAGTGTTCAGCATAGGTCATAATCCTCGAGCCAGGTGGGGGTACGTCTGGTTCGCCCGGAGCGTCTAGGTGGGAGAGCTGAGACTGGTTCTGTGCTTTCTGGGACAGAGTGTGCTGGGGACAATGTGTCATTCTCTTGAATCCCAGGAGCCAATGGGGTTTGGCACTGGTCTGGTACAGGCTCTGGTAAAACAGGTGATCTGCTTTCATTCTCAGTCTGGTATGATGACCTGCTCTCATTCTCAGTCTGGTGCGGGTCTTCATTGTTGCTACTCGGCATTGGTGACGGTTCCAGGGTGGAGCGCAGCTGGCGGCGGTTTCTGCGGAAGCACCGTCCATCTACCTGAGCTTCATATGAGCGTCGACCAAGAATACGTGAGCAACGACCTAAGCTCTATTTCTGTTCCCCAGGCAGTTTCATTCGGATCGCCTCTCCCACCTTCAAGGGAATGAGGTTCTTTGTGCCCGTGTCGTACTGCTTACACTGTAGTCTTTTTCTAGCTGCTAGACTTATCACTGTGGTCTTCAGGTCACTGTTCGGCTGGAGTAGCTTTTCAGCAGTTGCAGCAAGGTGCGCGTGCGCCGGTCCATCAGTCTTTGAACTGGTGAGGTGCTGAATCCCTCACTTGGGGTGTTGCGCCAAGCGAGGATCGCCGACAATGGGTCTCGTTTGTCTTCCTTCGCCTTCAAGAGTAGTCCTTTGCAGGTCTTCACATTTTCCACTTTTCCATTTGCATGTGGATATCTTGGACTTGAACTTCGATGCTCGAACTGCCAATCTGTAGAGAAATTCTTGAATTCCTGATTATCAAATTCAGGACCATTATCGCTGATCAGCACTTCAGGAATGCCATGTCGGGCAAACTGCACCTTAAACTGGGTAATTACGGCTTGTGCTGTCTTCCTGTGAATCTCAACTACTTCAAAGAAACTGGACCAGTAGCCCACCATTATCAGAAATGTCTGCTGCCCAATGACAAACAGATCCGCAGCGATTTTCTGCCGAGGGCGCGAAGGAAGTTCATGTGGTTGAAGCTCCTCGCGGGCTTGTGCTGGACGGTACATTTGAGAGATTGTACATTTCAGCACTCATTCCTGGCCAGTACAAAATTTCACGAGCACGGCGAACACATCCTCCAATGCCAATGTGACTACTGTGGAGCTGAGTTAGCACGTCCTTTCGAAGTGAAAGGGGTACTACAAACTGTTCGCCACGGAAACCTAGACCTTGCGATTCTATCAACTCACTTCGCTCATTATAATATGATTGGACAGCAGGAGGACATTTTTCATGTCGGGCCACCCTAGCTTGATAACACGGATAAGTTCCTGGATATCACCATCTGAAGAAATTTATTCCCGGAAAACATCTCTTTTCAGCGGTTCAATTAGAATATGCTCTTCATGGTCAACTGTCTCAAGTGCACAAATCTCAAAGAACTCTGTCTGCGCTCTATCAGTGGACTTCAGATATGCCCGACTCAATGCATCTGCAATATGCATGAGTGTACCTTTCTTGTGTTGCACTTCAAGGTTGTACTTTTGTAGGCCCAGCCGCATTCGCTGCGGACGCTTGGGTGACTTGTGAATTTCTTTTTTAAATACGGACCTCAATGGTTCATGGTCAGTCTCAACAGTGACTATGTCTCGTCCGTAGAGGTAATGATCGAGCTTGTCATACGACCAAGTGATGGCGAGCATTTCTTTCTCGATTAATTTGTGCGTAGCGAGATTCTGTATCGGTAAGGGCTCGGGAAGCATAACAAACAGGCTGGCTATCTTGCAGCAATACAGCTCCTAAACCATACTGGCTTGCATCTCATTGGATAGTGATTGGTTTGCTTACATCATAATAGCGAAGAACGGGTGCATCCGTCAGAAACTTCTTGATTGTGTTCATTGCGAGGGAGTGTTGTAGCAACCACTGGAACTCCACATTCTTGTCTTCTAGGCGTCTGAGTGGCTCTGTCATCTCTAATAGGTGAGGCATAAACTTTGCAAGATAGGTCACCATCCCTAGGAATCGCTTCAATGCAGTGACATCCTTAGGTTAGGCATCTGCAATATGGCTTGGATCTTCTCAGGGTCAGGCCTTAGGCCCTGAGAAGTGAGTAGGTGACCTATGAATTTCACGCTTGACTGGTGCCGTTTCACTTTGGCACGATTCAATTTCAGGTTCCACAAGCGGCATTTTCGAGAAAAGCGCGCTCACGTCTTTCAAGGCTGTTATTTACTTCTCGGTCACTATTACCAAATCCGGCAATCAGAAAGTCATCCGCTATCACTTCCGCTCCTTCCAGATCCTCTACGAACTCATGCATGATGCGTTGCCACATTTCATGCGCTGAACAGATGCCAAATGGCATCCTGTTCTATCGGTACCGCCCAAATGGTGTATTGAATGTGGTTTTGTAACTCGACTCAGTGTCAAGACGGTTCTGCCAGAAACCATCTTTGGCGTCTCCCACGGTGAACTTCTTTGCTTGTGAAAGTCGGATTGCAACTTTCTCCACTGTAGGCATTTGGTAGTACTCTCGACGGATGGCTTTGTTCAAATCGCGAGGGTCAAGGCATATACGCAACTTGTTGGGTTTGACAATGACCAACAAACTAGAGACCCACTCGGTTGATTCAGTTACCGGGGTGATGACGTCGCTGGCAACCATCTCATTCAGTTTCTCTTTGATCTGGTCTCGTAAAGCCACTGGTACACGACGAGGCGGATGTACCACGGGTGGCACAGCATCATCGGTAACTATGTGGTACTCGCCTGGGAGGTCCTCCAAGCCTTGAAAAACATCCTTGCATTCATGTAAGAGATCAGTAATTCCTGTTGTTACAGCGACACCAGGGGTCGAATCGAGACCGTATGAATTTGATGCAATTGCTCTACCACAGTCATTAATTGTGACAAGCCCCAGTTCAATACAGGTGCTGTAGGATAACAGTGGTGCAAGGTCATCTTCTGAAATGTTGAAAAGCAACACATCTCTTTTCCCATGGCGCCATATGGGGAGTTCTGTCAAGTACCCCATTAACTCGTATCGTTCATTTGTATAAGTTTTAATAGACTTGTGTGAGCAGAGATTGACTTGTTTCAAATCCACGTCCCCTGTGACTCGCTGGTAATCCTTAAGCGAGAGGAGGTTGCATTCTGCACCTGTGTCTAGTTGGAATGCCACCTGACTCTGACTGCTTGGCTTCCCAACTTCCATGGTAATCATTGCACGCCAGCCACACCCAACTTGACTGATACGAAAGACTCCTTCAGTTACTTCTTCTACAGTGTTTATTTGTGGGGTATTTGATTGGCACTTTGCCTTGAAGTGGTTCTTTTGTCCGCTTTTACGGCAGGTTTGCCCATAGGCAGAGCATTGGCGATTTACAGGATGATACCCACAGAATCGGCATTCTGGCCACTTTCTTGAGTTTGGTCCTTGATTGTTCTTCCTTTCTGTTTTAACCGCGCCAACTGTCTCCTCTGTTCCGCTGGTAATCATCTTTAATTACTGACTGGTCTGCTCCGCGGCTTTGCATATATCGATTGCTTTAGACAAAGTCAGATCGTTTACTCGTAAAAGGCGTTCTCGTACTTTGTCATCTCGGAGCCCAAGGACCAAACGGTCGAGTAGAATCTCATCCGGTGTGATTTCGTCATGAGCACAGTTCTTGGCAGTCACATGCAACTCGGTCACGTACGCACTTATACTTTCGCCTGCCTCTTGTGTGCGATTATTGAAACGATATTGTTCGTAAATTACCTGAGTGCGATGTTCACAATATTCATCAAATTTGGTTAAAACATCCTTAATATAGTCTTCTTTCTGACTTTCGCTCCGAACAAACGTATCAAACACTTTGACAGCATCTTCTCCTATGACCGATAGCAATGTTGACACTCGAACAAGATCCTCTTGCTTGTAAATTCCCCCCGCAATTTCATATCGTTAAGAAACTTTTTTCCACTGTTCCATTACCAGCTAGATTGTCATCCACTATCAGCGGTTTTGGCGGCGGCAAATTCGCCGGAGGCAGCATGAACGGAGTAGCAGCCGCGGGTGGCGTTTCTTCAGCTTCAACCATCACGAAAAAGATAAGATGGCGGCCACGAGAAATATGTTTTTAATCGTCCTCAAGCCGCGAAGTTCGATCCCACTCCTGACACCATGTTGAGTTGTGACGACGATAAAACCACAGAGCTATGGGTTAAAACTGCAACAAGACTTTTTAATGACGAGTTAGGGTTTTTCGAGTTACATGAGTGGCCAGTGCCGCGTGGCACGACAGATTATGTGACTTTCTGATCATATTACTACAGTCACGCGTGTCACGCCACATATCCAAGCTTAGTTCTTTCTTAATCTTAATACACAGGGAGCTGAAGAACTTTGAAAGTTAAAGATCCCAACATTACAAGAAATTTTGTGTTAACCGTTAAAGAATTAGCTCCAGCATCAATTAGTTTCAACATAAGACATGTAGATTCAGTTAGAAAGGGTTAAAAATCCTAGCACGTATGTTTGTAAATCCATTATAAGCTCCTGAGTAATTTGTTTTGCACTTAATGTTAGTTTACTTAATAATTGCCCAAAATATTGTTCACAATCATATACCATGACTTAACTTGTTTTGCTCAAAACCAGACAAGAGACTAGTTTTTGTAAAACTTCAAATGCACATGTATTAGATATGAATATTACACATTTATTACCATATAATTTAAAGAGAATGCAAAATCATTTTGATTAGCATCAAAGTATACTTCAGCCAAGCTGCATAGCTTATGTCCACCGACAAAGCTTAAAAACAGGTTTAAAATAAGTTTCCTTAAGACTTCCAAGAGCTTTGTAACATTAAATTCATTCAGTTCGGTATGACCTATTAAGACCCAAGATGTTTCATAGTGAGGTTTGAGTTGACTGTCAAGCACAACCCAAACAAAAACTGAATTTGGAGTTACCAATCACAGTTTTACTGAGAAAGCATACAAACGTTTTGAAGGACTTTGTCCAGTGAATATCATCATAGGATACATCTATTCATCAGCTGAGGAAAAGTTCGTTCTTTGCGTCATGTAGGTAATTTTTAGGGCTGAAAAGACAGTAAATCTATCCGTATGGTCACATTCATTAAGGAATTCAAAATTTACGTCATTTCTCTGATTGTGACTGAACAATCTTTTTCTCAAAGTCATTGAAAAAAATTGTGACATACATGAACAATTGAAAGAACTGTTACCCAGACACCAGAAAGGTGCTATTATGACGCAACCCAATTACAAATCAGTCTCATGAAAATGAACTAGACGCCGAGATGGTTTTCTTTACCTCCTGGATTAGTTTTTTGCCTTTGCGAGTATTTCGGAATATTTATGGCCCACTACAGAGAAAAAATACTAAGAAAGGTAAGTCTTTTATCTTTTAGTCCAATTTCGAAAAAAGGTTCTTTTGTTTTTTAGGTAAACAACGGAAAAATTTTACGAACCTATTGTACGGCTTGCGTCATCAAACTTTTAAACTGTTTCCCTCGCTACCAGACGTTAATATGAACATTCGAAAGTTAACTGAGAAGTGTTTTAGGCAAGCCTAAGGTATTGAATGCCTAGTGCAATCAATAAACGGAAAGAACAAGGATATATATTTGCCAAACTTGAGTTACAACAAAGTATCATCGGTGATCGCCATTGTAACATTGTGACATTTTTTTTATTATTATTGAAAACGACGCCCGCTAAAGTAATAGTGAGCTGCAAAAAGAGGTAATCTGATTTCTTTATAATACAGTGCAACCTTAGCTGATTGCGGAGGAGGTGGTCGTTGTCGAGAGGTGGTCACATCAAAGAAGTAGCCGTTGTATGGAGGTAGCCTTTTTAAGGGAGGCTGCTATTTAAAGCGGCTAACCTTTGTAGCGTAGAGGTCTTAACATAGAAGTTCCGCAAAATTTAGATGTTTGTAATGTTCTTCAAAGTAACGTCTTTAAGATGCTGATATCAACTGTTGATATCATGATAGTTGTTATCTATGTAGAATGAAAGCGTGTCCATAATTCAGTGAGCGTGGCGCAGA